AACCACCTGGCCTCCTAACAGTTCTTTCTGTTCCCACTCGAGCTCCCGTAAACTTAATACATTAGCTGGAGTAGTAATCTCAAATTTTAATTCAGATTTCTCTTCTTTCCTTAAAACTGTCCAGTGATCCAAAGTTCTTTCCATGGCCCATAAGGGCCTGAATGTCCTGACCTCCTCCACCTCTTCAGTCTCCTCTCATACCATGGTCCCGAACACTCATGGCTTCCTCAAAAACTCACCAAGTTTTACCCTACTTAGAGTCTTTTCACTTGTCCTCTCTGCTTAGAACACTCCTCTCCCAGACCTTTGTACTGGCTCCTTCTCATCTTTTAAGTTTCAGCTTCTCAGAGTCCTATCCTGATTACCCTATCTAAAGTTGCTGCCTGCTCCCCATATTACTTTCTTTCATGTTTAGCATGCACTTATTACAATTCAAAATTATTTTCCTTGGTTTATGTATTTTTTGTTTGTTTGTTTGTCTCCCTTAAAACCAAAACCAAGCCCATTACCGTCGAGTCAATTCTGACTCATAATGATCCTACAGGACAGCAAAGAATTGCCCCATAGGGTTTCCAAGGCTATAAATCTTTATGGAAGCAGACTGCCACATCTTTCTCCTGCAGAGTGGCTGGTGGGTTGGAACCACCAACCGTTTGGCTAGCAGCCAAGCACTTAATCACTGCATAACCAGGGCTCCTTTGTCTCCTCTTACTATAAAATAAACTCCATAAAAGCAGGAACCTTGTCTATCTTATTTACCACTGTTTTCCATAGTGGTTCAGTAAATATTTGTTAATAAGTGGAAGAATAAAGAGATTTCATTTATGAGTCCTCTCAGATTCTAGGATGGGCGTTTTTCAGGCCAGAAGTGGAAACTAGGTTATGATCACTGGCAAATATGGAGCAGCAGCTAAGAGTTCTTACAATCGGACTTGTTCCCCTTTAAAATGTGGCGACCACCTCCAACAAAACCCTGAGTCTAAAGTTCTTCAGTTCTTTGACAGATGTCAGCAATTCCATTCATCATAGAAGTTCCCTGAATTAATGTGTATATCTTTTTAAAAATACAATACTCAAAAAATAAACAACTAAATAAAACCACCATCAAGTTAAAAAAAAAAAAAGCAATACCCCTGAAATGTTTACGAATTAACCTATCATCCATATTAAGTAAGAATTTCCATTTAGTGAGAGGAAGTATTCCATATCTGCATCGCCTCCTTTTTAAAAAAAATTTACTGTGGTAAAATATATGTAACATAAACTTTGCCATTTTAACTATTTTTAAGAATACAATTCAGGGCATTAATTATATTCAGTGTTGTGCAACCTTCACCACTATCTCCAAAACTTTTCCAATACCCCAAAAGGAAACACTGTACCTATTAAGCAATAACTCCCAATTCCCCCCTCCCCACTCCCTCAAAACCTCTGATCTGTCTCTATGAATTTGCCTATTCTAAATATTTCATATAAGTGGAATAATAGAATATTTGTCCTTTTGTATCTGACTTATTTCATTAGCATAATGTTTTCATGGTTTATCCACTCCATATTCCATTTTATTACTTGAGGGGAGAGAGCCAGATCACTATTGTGGATAACCTGGGAAAAGTGGTACAGAAAAGGTGGAATAATGTTAAAGAAACTCTACCTTGTTTTAAAATTGCTTCCTACAGGCTTTTTTTCACAGAAAATGAAGAAATCACCCTTTCTTCATACTTCTGTTCACTATCTGGTCCTAGAATTTATCTTGGCAATACTGACTTTTTACCAACACCAAGGTTAAATTGTCTTCAGTGAGCTAATCTGAAAATTTCAGCACTATTCATAACATAAAACTAAATTTCCCATGCAAACTGAGTGCCAACAAATGTTTCGGGGATCTGTATGTTGGGGGTTGTTTCCATTTACAACAGCCGTTGCAAGCCTTTGAGCTTACTGACATGATTGGTCTAAAAGATCATCTTGTCCTTGTCCACCTTCACCAATGTTATCCCTTTCCCTCCTGGGTACAACTCCTACTGTTTCCCAGATGACTAGCAAATACTCTAGAACCATGTTGTTGTTGTTGTCAGGTGCCATCAAGTCGGTTCCAACTCATAGTGACCCTATGCACCACAGAACGAAACACTGCCCGGTCCTGCGCCATGCTCACCATCATTGTTATACTTGAGCCCACTGTTGCAGCAACTGTGTCAATCCATCTTGTTGAGGGTCTTCCTCTTTTTTGCTGACCCTATACTTTACCAAGTATGATGTCCTTCTCCAGGGACTGATCCCTCCTGACAACATGTCCAAAGTACGTAAGACATAATCTTGCATTATGATTGTACTTCTTCCAAGACAGATTTGCTTGTTCTTTTGGCAGTCCATGATATATTTAATATTCTTGGCCGACACCACAATTCAAAGGTGTCAATTCTTCTTCGGTCTTCCTTATTCATTGTCCAGCTTTCGCATGTATATGATACGACTGAAAATACCATGGCTTGGGTCAGGCGCACCTTAGTCTTCAAGATGACATCTTTGTTTTTCAACACTTTAAAGAGGTCTTTTGTAGCAGATTTGCCCAATGCAATGTGTCTTTTGATTTCCTGATTGCTGCTTCCATGGGTGCTGATTGTGGATCCAAGTAAAACGAAATCCTTGACAACTTCAATTTTTTATCCATTTATCATGATGTTGCTTATTGGTCCAGTTGTGAGGATTTTTGTTTTCTTTATGCCTCCCTTTTTTCTGATCCCCTCTAAGGCAGAAACTTCACGAAGAACAATACAAAGAGAAGGAGGGGGGGATACTATAGTTTTTTCCTAAAGCCTAGATACCTACAGGGCCCAGAAGCTAGCTAATTGGCAGTACATCTGTATTTTATTAGCTGCGAAATCTGAGACCAAGGGAAACAGGAAGGGCAAGGAATGGACCTTACACTGCTATTATAATTAAATGACGTCAGCATACCTCCTAAAACTTTGTGCATACCAGTTTATGCTACGATTTGGGGACCATTACAATAAGACCTCATCTCTTGGCTTTGATTCGAGTCTTTCTTCATACACACTGCAGTCTATGCTCCAACTGCTTCCTAAGACCCAATCTTGCAGACAGCCAAGGTAGGCAGGCCTCTCTTCTGCACAGACCCCCTAGGAAGCCACAGTCATTCCCACTATGTCGTCACCATTCACTCAGATTTGTATGGGACCCTCCTCATAGAGCAGGCACCATACAAAACTAACTCATAGTTTAAAACATGGAGTGTTTTATAGGCCTCTCACCCTTGGTTCAAGTACTTTAATTCTTTCTCCCCACCCCCCTCCTAAGATACTGAGTGCCACCAAGGTATTGAGGAGAATTAAACTAAATTAAACCAGTGCAACTGAATCTGAAAAAAATGAGTTAACACTTGACCACTGAGTACCTTAGAGTTGTGTGTGAGACTGTAGTGCATGAGTAGTGATCAGATTAACCAACACATGTGAAAGCCCAAACCCTATACAAAATAAGGTACAGTTATTACTATCCAGGTATTGGTGTCTTAACTTGTTAAACTTCCCAAAGGTATATTCTTTGGAAAAGGCCATACAGGAAAGTGAATGAATGTCTAGTGTGGACTTTTAGGCACTGATACTTGGGTAGAAAAGATGTTTTGAAGAAGGGTCTTCCTGGTGTTCCTCAAATAACCCTCTAATGTAGTAACTTTAAGACTGGACCTGAATCCCTCTTCTGACTGAGGAGCCACTCTTCTAGAACAGTATTAAGAAGCGACATCTAGGCACTTGATCATACAGCCTGCATAGATGTTCTCAGACTGCTTCATAGTATAAATCCTCCTTCCCCATTCAAGCTATAAATACTTTGAGTGCAGAAGTTGTTAAGATATGTCCCTCTCATAGCACACCAAACAGCGTAAGTACTCAATAAATACCTGGGAAACTGAATTGAGACCATATGACTTATAGGAAAATCTAATCAAACATACATACTAATCAAAAATTTTTAATTTAGACATAATGATCAACCACTCAGTTTTATGGCAAAATGAACCTTTTATACAAATCATTTCAAAAACCCAAATGGTTCCTAGTTACCACAAGCTGGTCCCTGACCCAGCTCTCCTTCTAACGCGACTGCAATCTAACTCCTCGTCTTATCTTTACTTTTTTGTTTTGTTTTGCTTGTATGACCGCACTAGCAAACATTATAAGCAACCTCTGGAAAGGAGAACTCTTAAATTCTGAATCCCCACGCCCAGCCCACCTCAGGGTACCACTCGGTACCTGTCCCAGCATAGGGTCCATCCCAAAGCACCAAGCTTCCTCAAAGAGTTACAAAGGAGAAAACACTTTTACATTAAAGTTTGAGTATTTTAAAGGATATAACCCAAAACTCGCAATGGTTTTCAAAATGAACTCGATAAAGTTCACGCTTTCGGCAGCCTTTCCAGGCCCGCCTCAGACCCTTGGCAGTTCGCGACTCTCCGTGGAAGTTGGGGCAGCTCCGTCTCACAGTTCCCCGGCCCTAGACTGGGTAGTGCAGGGCTCCGAGTGACCCAAACAGGGGCTGTCTCAGTCCTTTCCCGCCCCTCTAGCTACCCGCTTCTCCTTGAAAACTCCAGCTTCTTCTCACATTCTCTGCGCCCACCTCTCACTATGCACCCTCCACCCGGTTCTTTCCCGCAACCACGACTCTCGCCCTAGCTCACCCCTTAGGCCCAGGCCTCTCTCAAACGGGCCAATTTCTCGCCCCAGTACCCTAGAGACAGGCCTGTCGCCACTCTCCCCTGTGGCCCTCCAGATTTCCCTCGAACCCTACTCCCTTCCTTTCTCCCACTGTCCCTACTTTCCCCAATGCCCTCCCACCTCCAATTCCCTCAAACGCTCGCACCAGAACCCCCATGATACACCCTCGTGTGTCTCTCCTCTTCCCCCTTCACCAGCCCGACCGGACGCCTTCCCTCCGCTCTCCCCCTGCTTCCTCCAACCCCCTTCCCTCGCCCTCACCTCGCTCCCATCCTCCAGCAGCAGCCACTCGGCGGTCATCCCCACCCGCCGCAAGCACCAGCTCCGGCCACCGGCGCGGTCTTCCGTGACCAAGGAGTCGGGCTCCCCCATAGCCTACTCGGCCCAGGGCAGGCCCGGGTCGCGGTCAGCACACAGCGAGACCGGGACCGATACTCCCGCAGCTCCTCCGCTTCCTCGCGGCCGCCATACCTAAACAACAGACAGAAGCAATCGCCAAGCGCTCGCGATCTATGTGAACGAACGCTCGGGCTGCAGACCCAGCTCTGTCTCCGGTCAGCAAACTGGAGTTATTGCGCCTGCGCGAGAGGAAGCAAAGGGCCCGGGTGGGGTAGATGTGTTGGGATCTACCGCCAGGTACGGCCGGTGTCGCCTGAAGCAGTCTATTTCTCCCGCTAGCCCCCCTTCCCTACGCTCTCTTGAACCACCACCCCAGTCCTGCTGCCCCAAACAGAAACCTCTTCTTACTGTTCCTCTTTTTTTTTTAGAATTCTGCACTTATGACCGCATTATTATGATGATAGGGCCCTCGTGGCGGAGTGGTTAGGCGTGGGCTGCTAACCGATAGGTTGGCAATTGGAACCCACCTCCGCAGGAGAAAGATGTGGCAGTCTGCTTCCACAAAGATTCACAGCCTTGGAAACCCTGTGGGCAGTTCTGCTGTGTTCTATAGGGTCGCTAAGAGTCGGAATCGACTTGGCGGCAATGGGTTTGGTTTTATTATGATGATATCCATATTATTTAAAACTACAACCCACTGTTAAACAACTTTAAACCTGTGATAATGTTAAAATATGTTAAGTCTGTTCCTAAATAGCATCTGTTTTTCAAGATGTCCTTTTATTACCCAATTTAAAAAATTATACTGGGTGAATCTATGGAGGCAGAAAGCAGGGCAGTCCTTGCCTGGGGCCCGGTGTGGGAGCGGGGGATTGACTGTAAACCCGCTGGGTTCAGAGGGAATTTTGGGAGGGTAATAGATAACGTTCTAAAACTGGATTGTGGTGGTGATTGCACAACTGCTTAAAGTTACTTAAAAATCATTGAACTGCACACTTACAATAGGTGAATCTATGGGATATAAATTACTATCAATAAAGTTAATTTAAAAATACATACATAATTTAAAATTCTTTCCTTTGATTTTCCAGTATTATGTGGATGGATCGGTTCCCTGCAGTGACTACCTCTGTAATAACTCAATGCCCCATTTTGCCTTTTCAGTTTACTGATACCTGGTTGACAATTTTCTTATATTCTCTCAGGAAAAAGTATATATATACTAAATGAATCATACAAAGCTCAGTAGTAAGTGACTGGTGTTTATTGAGAGCTAAGTGCCGGGTACAAGGCCAAGCACCCTACATACTTTATCTTATTTGTTGTTCACAAGCAATATGATGATGATGGCTATTGTAATTCTCACTTTAGGGATAATGAGAAAAGAGGCACAGAGAGCTTAAGTAATCTTCCCAAAGTAACAAACTAAGTAGTGGGGCAGGATGCTAACTCAGGACTGTTGTTGTTGTTAGCTGCCATCAAATGGAGACCCCATACAAAATGGAACTAAATGCTGCCTGCTCCTATATCATGTTGTTCTTGTTATTAGGTGCCATCGAGTCAATTCCAACTCATAGCAACCTTAGGTATAACAGAACTAAACATTGCCTGGTCCTGCACCATCCTCACAGTCATTGCTGCGTTTGAGCCCATTGTTGCAGCCACTGTGACAGTCCATCTCGTTGAGGGTCTTCCTCTTTTTCGCTGACCCTCTACTTCACCAAGCATGATGCCCTTCTCCAGGGACTGTGTCATGGATTGAATTATGTCCCCCCAAAAAATGTGCGTATCAATTTGGATGGGCCATGATTCCTGGTATTGTGTGGTTTTCCTGTATGTTGTAAATCCTGCCTCTATGATGTTAATGAGGGAGGATGGGCAGCAGTTGTGTTAGTAAGGCAGGACTCAGTCTACAAGATTGGATTGTATCCTGAGGCAATGTCTTGAGATATAAAACACAGAAGTGAGCAGAGAGACAGGGGGCTCTTATCCTCTCGAGAACAGTGTGGGGGGCGGAGCGTGGGTCCTTTGGACCTGGGGTCCCTGCTTGGAGAAGCTCCTAGAATGGGGGAAAATTGATGAGAAGGCCGACCGAGAGAAAGCCTTTCCCTGGAGCTGACGCCCTGAATTTGGGTTGTTAGCCTACTTTACTCTGAGGAATTAATTTTCTTTTGTTTAAGGCCTTCTTTTTTTGTTTTTGTTTTGTCGGCGCTCTATGTGTCTGAGAGAGTTTGGTCTCTCGTGATTGGGTTTCTGCTGTAAGTGATGTGTAGTCTGTGGATGCTGTTTTCTAAGTGTCATTGTGTCTGTTTTTGTTCGTCACCGGGTTTGTTTATTCTTCTGGCAGTTGCATCTTCTGCGCCATGGCCGTGGTTGAGATGGATCAGTTGTTTTCCTCTTCGTTTTTTGTTGTCCGGCTTTGGCGTCGATCTGCGGCGCTTGAGAGTTGCGTGGCTTTGGTCAGGTGGCTTTTTGTCGTCGTGTTGTGCTTTTTGGTTTTTATCGGTTTAGCTAGGTCTTTTTTGGCCGCTTTCCTCAGTGGGGTATGTGTTTTGGTTTGTTGCCTGGTGTTTGCGTGCTTATTGATTGTGGGTTGAAGTGACATGGAATACATTCTTTTGCGCTTTGTGTGTTTTCTGTTTTTTGTGCTTTTGCTTATTGGTTTCGTCGTGTGTCGTCGTGGCCTGTGGTTTTTTTGTGGGTGGTGTTGTGCTTTTGATGGGGTGGGATGGTGGTGTGTCTAACGTGGATGTCGCAGATTTGCTGTCCGAGTTGTTCTGGTGGGCGGCGCTGCCTCCTAGGTCTGGTGTGTTTCTAGTGCGTATTTTCGCCTGGCTGTTTGCTATCGTCTGGTGGGCCGTTTTCTTTTTTTGGTTGTGTCAGATCACGGATTGTTGTTTTTGGTGTCTTGGGGGCTCATGTAATTTGTGGTGCTGCCTTGGTTGGTGTCTTTTAGGTGTTTTTTTCCTGTAGTTTTTCGCGTTTGTCCTGCCTATTTTTGTGTTGTGGGCGTTGTGCGTTTGTCTCTTTGGCATCCTTTCCCTTGTGTTGTAGTTTTTACGGGTTCATCTGCTTTTTTGGATTTTGGCCTTTGGAATCCACCAGCCGCTCCTTAGAAACCTGATGGGGCAGTTCTACTCTGTCTTACAGGGTCACTATGAGTTGAAATCAACCTGAGAGCGACAGGTTTGGTTTGGGTTTTTTGTTCTGTTTTGTTTTTTAATCTTCTTAGGCTTCTCATGGCTGTGACAGTTTCTCAGACTTTGTTTTTGATGACCCTGACAGTTTTGAAGTGTACTGGCCTGGTTTTGTAACATGTCCCTAACTGGGATTTGTCTGATGTTTTTCTGTTATTAGATTGGGGTTATGGGTTTTGGGGAGGAAGACCACAGAGGTAAAGTGCCATTCTCATCACATCATATCAAAGGTACGTACTATCAACATGATGACTTTTGATGTTAAGCTTCATCACCTGGTTGCCAGTTTTTCTCCACTGTAAACTTATCCTTTTTCCCCTTTCTATAATGTACTGTTTGAAAGGAAGTTGTTGTGTGCAGCCCACACTTAAGAAATGGGGCATTATACTCACCCTCCTGGAGGGCAGGGTATCTACATAGATTATTCAGAATTCTTCTACATGGGACTTTTGTCTTTTCTCCCACATTTAGTTCTTTAGTTAACCATTTATTTATATCAGTGTGAATTCATGGATATTCATTTTATACTTTAGGTTATAGTCCCATACCACTTTATATTGTTGCTCAAATTGTTCTAGCTGTGGCCATTGATTGCTCTTTGTCATGGATTGAATTGTGTCCCCCAAAAAATGTGTGTAGCACCTTGGCTAGGTGACGATTCCCAGTATTGTATGATTGTGTTATCTGATGTGATTTCCTTATGTGTTGTAAACTCTACCACTATGATGAGATTATATGTGGTCTCCTCATGTTGTAAATTCTATCCCTGTGATGAGTTTATACTGATGAGGTTGACAAGATTAGTGTCTTAATGCAATCTCTTTTGAGATATAAAAGAGAGAAGCGAGCAGAGATACATGGGAACCTCATACCACCAAGAAAGCAGTGCTGGGAGCAGAGCACATCCTTTGGACCTGAGGTTCCTGCGCAGAAGAGCTCCCAGAACAGAGAAAGACTGATTACATGAACCCTGCAGAGCCAGCAGAGAAAGCGTTCCCCTGGAGCTGACACCCTGAATGTGGACTTGTAGCCTACTGGACTGTGAAGAAATAAACTTCTCTTTGTTAAAGCCATTCACTTGTGGTATTCCTGTTAGAGCAGCACTAGATGACTGAGACACTGTTTCATTTGGTTACTGAGTCCCTTTGACATAATCCCATAATTGTGGGGTTTTTTTGAGCACTTCCTTAATTTCTGGCAAAAGATGGCCCAGTTCTAGAATCAGCCATTTCTCGAAGGAGCCCTGGTTCCTTTCATTAGAAAATAGTATTTGAAACCAAGACCTGGGTTCTAGATACGTTACCAAATGCAATGGGTTCACCACTTGTACTCTTGTTAAGAATAACTAAGAGTCAAGTGGATTTAAAGCAAGGCATAGTCTATTACTCGCAGCAAGTAAGGAGACAGGGAGATCACTCTCAAAGCACTGTCTCCCCGAACAAAAGGCTAGAGGAAGTTCTTATGCTACGTGGGAAAGGGGAAGTCATACATATTTGTTAATTTCATACATAGTGAAAAAGGGGTCGGGCTAGGATTTGGCATGGAAGTGGCTGATGGACTTCTTCTGAGATGGTCACTGCTTGTGATGATGTATGTCTGGTGATTTTGGTTCTTTGGCATGGGTCTTTTGGTTCCTAGGCAATACTTATTATGGGATAGGGCCATCTGGCAGTCAACCTGGTCTCTTACCGTGCATGTCCAGTTTTAGCTGGTTGATCTGAAAGACAGCTGCAAGTGGAAAGATTAGGAGGAAGCAGACGACATTGCACTTAAACTTTAACCACAAGTGAGGTAAATAGTGTTTTCCAGGGTCTCAACACCCCCCCCCCGAGAAATTCACATTCCTCATTCTTGGGGGGTTTAGGGACGGAAGTCTTTTCTTTTAAAGCTACTTCCTGCTGATAAGGGATTCAGGGTTCTATTGATTAGAGGAGTGGAATTCTCTTGTTTGCCTGAGTTAAACTACTGTATTTTCACACATCTCAAGAGGCCCTTCATAGGGTGTCTGTGTTTCTTCTTGATGTTGGAGTTGAATGGGTTGGAATCCTTGAGCAATCATCATCTGAAGATGAAACTTTTGAAATCTGGAAGAAATGAATTTGACCAACAAGTTGAATAAACAG